TAAAATGTACCAATAAACTTAATGGGGGTAAAGAAAATTTAAAAAAAATAAAAGATTATATTCTAAAGATTAAAAGAATAAGCCCAAATGAATAAGCAAAAGGTCAATTTTTAAGACATGAATTATGTCTACATATGAATAGAGGAAAATATTTGAGTTTCTTGTTATGGGCTACAATCTTTTGCCTACAATTTCAAAATCCTCAAAACTCTGAATGCCCTGAACAACTGTGAGGCTATTTATATACTTAATGTAATTATTTTTATATTTTGGAACAAAAATGTTAATGTATTATTACCAGGTATTAAACGGTATTTTTTTAATTCAGAGAATTCTGAATTCTGAAACACATCTGCCTTCTAGGCTGAAGAGGTTTTGGATTTGCCTTCAAGCTTTAAAGGGTCACATTTATAAGAAAATAATTCATTTACACAGTTACCCAAGCCAGTGTGATCTATTGCATATTTCACCAAATTTTGGGTGATGAAGCTTAATATCATTGCTCCTACTAGCTAAAAAGGATTAATAATATACATTTGGGGACATAATTTTATTACGTCCCAAAAACATTTATAAAAGAATTGGATCAGATTCTCTAGATATTGAAGATCCATGTCCTCTTACCAGAGCTGACGTTCTCATTGGACAATGATTAATTTGAATCTGTTAATAACTTCTAATTTCAGACTAGTAAAGGAGCCACTGGTTGTCTAAAAGAACAGATACCGGTGAGAGTAAAGATATGAGACAAGTGGGTATCAGCATGCTATGACAAAGGAATGAACAATTTCTTGGGACTTGCTCTCTAGATTCCATATTCATACAAAAAGATAATACCACTTTATTTGAATTCAGAATTACTTAAAATAAGTACAATATGTACATTTCAATGAACACAAGTTGAGCAAGTCTAATAAAAGTTGTTACATTAAGCAGGTACCTACTACTATAACAAAACTGACATGTTCTTCAACTTTCACACAGCTGTGACCACAATTCAATGGTGAGATTTCCATTCTCTCTAGGCTTATAGGACAGAAGATGAGTAACGTGGAAAGTAAGTGTCAAAACAACTTTTTGAATTTCAAATATAGAAAAGTTGTATACAAAATTTGTATACAAAAAATTCATGTATAAAATCGCAGGTAGTCTTTATTTGGATTGCTGAGGCAGTCCAGGTTGCTGGTGGAGGTTAGTAACAAATTCTACATGTTCCAAAGGCATGTTGCAGGGAATTTAGCTCAGTGGTTCCACTGCTTGCCTCATAAGCACAAGGTCCCAAGTTCAATCCCAGTACAAAAAACAGGAAAAAAAAGGCATGTTGCAAAATGAATGTCTAATTAAATTAGTACGTATGAAGATTTGTGCCTTGAAGTTTTTAGTGGAGAAAAAAAGACTTTTAACCACTAATTGCTCCAGAAATTGATTTATGTAAAGTGGCCTAGTGCTTATAACTTTCAGATTTTGTTTTTAATTATCAATGAGGAGAAATGGCAACACCAGATGTTAGACATAGTTAGGGAAAATTACAAAATGTTTTATTCTGTGCAATGTCTCACTGTGCTTTGAAATACATTTCTGTGGCTTTACTGGTATGAATGAACACAGGAAAACAAAATTTTCATATTTAATTTGGTGTGGGGTACATTGTAATTTTTTTTTAATTATATTTCTCCAATGTCCTTTGGTAAACTTTCAGCTCCGTTTCATTTTAACATAGGCAGAACATATATTTCCCATGACTATTGATTTAGTTGTAGAAATCTCAATTGGCTGATATGTACTAGAAAGCTCCAGAAATGAGGAAAGAGCAGTAGAGCTTTCCTGTAAAATCACAAACTTGACTTGAGTCCAGAATGGACAGAACTGATATTCCAGGTGTCAATCTTGATGGCTAGAGAACTTTGCATTTGTGTTATGATTTCAGCAACCTAAATGGATGCTGTTGTTTTTAACCACTCTCTTTCATTAATTCTCTGAATTATGCAAACTTCAGAAGAGTAAGTAAACTCATAAATTATTTTGGCTTTTAGTAAATCAAGACCCAGTCTCCACTGTTAATAGTGAGATTTTCACCTAAAATACTGTGCTTGAGAAACAGAAACTGGAGTTCAATCAGTCTGAATTTATGTCCTTTTGGAGACAGAACCAAGGGGAACTTTTTGTAACCTGTTGAACTGGAGGGCTGCATATTTTAAATCTCTCTTCAGAGTTGCTACGTACTTTCATACTACACTCAAGGTTAGACCTGGCAAAACCCTTCTTGCTTTTCTTTTTAAAGCTTTTCATCAAATTTTAAATTAGGCCAAAAGTTGGGGGGAAAACAGTCTAATAAAATTGGTCTAAAGCAAACATTAAAATTCTCAGTGCACATGGAGCTCCTTGTTCGCGCAAAGTAGCTCTGTCCAGCCCTCCGCAGGGAGCTCTTCTCAGGCAAGGCCTTTCTCTCTGTGTGTTGCTGACACAGGGCTCTGATCCCCCTTGGGCTCCCTTAGAAGGAAGCTCTGGATATATATTTGCTTCTCAATCCATCCAATGAAATATGACACGTTGCTATACACTCCAGGACCCAGAACTTTGGAAAAGCAAATTGAGCCCCATGAAGTTAAACCAAACAATGTCCACTGTCCTCCAGGCTGCTCGCAAACAAGAGGTCCACCGCTGTCACCCTGCGATGAGTAGCAACAGACATTAGTCACTGGGATTTCAGAGCCCTGCAGCACCATGTGGTCCAGAGGGTACAAGAAAGCCAAACCAGATTAACCAATCTCTTGGAAAGTTTCAACGAAATTTTTATCGTCAGCCTGTGGAGAAAATTTACTTTCTATTCTATAAATGGTACTTTCAAATGAACATTATAAATTCTGATCTTTGAAATGAGGAGGGTGGCTTGGGAAAAGATTTTATTCTTTCTAGGAAATCAGAAGACGTTTTAAATCATTTCCTACTTACCAAAGTATGTCATAAATTTTAATAAAATCTTATGTATCAGAACTGATTACCTCATAATCAAGCTCATTGACTAACTTTCATTTGTCTTTTTTTTTTTGGTACCGGGGATCAAACTTGGGACCTTGCACTTGCGAGGCAGGTGGTGAAACCGCTGAGCTAGATCCCCGGCCCTCATTTGTCTTTTTTATTGTTTCTGATTAGTACATGTTTGAAGTACATAATGATTATAATTATTGTGGGGAGTTGGAACATGTATATAACACATCTTAACTCTTTTCTTTCTCTATTTTGTTTTTGTTTTTCATCCTCTGCCCCTCTCCTCCCTCCCTACTCCTTCCATAACTGTAGAAAATACCCAAAATGGAAAGATTTTACTCCTGTAATATCTACAGTTTTCTTACCTGGTAATATTGGAAAAGAATAGGAATCATGTTTACTGATATTTCCATGTATTAACTAATTTAATCTTCTCAAAATACCTACAAATTGATTGTTATTATTATGTTCATTTTAGAGATAATGCAACTGAAGTACAAGTTAAAGAACTTGCTCCCCAGCAAAGCCAGGCTTTGAACTCAGGCTTTCTGACAAGAAGACATCTTCTCCATGACTACCAAGCTATCCTGCTTCTTGGGAATGTTAGTGAATATGATTGCTATGAAAACAAAACTGAAATTTTGATTAAGCTTCATGCTTTTGTAGAAGTGGTGACCTTCACCTGCATAACTTTGCAATGCCCTGAGCCTAAACATTAAGCATTGACTGTGTAAGGGGCAGAAAAACAACACTTTCTGCCTGAGAGCCTGAATTAATTAATTTATTTATACTTACGAATTGTTTATTTCTGGAATTTTTCATTTGATAATTTTGGACCATAAATGACTATAACAAAACCATAACAAAAACCATAGAAAGTGAATATGGGAGAAGGGAGAACTGCTCTATATTGACTGCAATGGGCCTTCTTATTTGGTAGCAGCAGTAAGCACTGCCTGACAGTGAAGTGATTTTCCTGATGCCCCTGCTCTGTTCAGGCTGTGACAAACAGAAGTGCATCATTCCTGATGCTCCTGTTTCCATGCCAACATAGCAAAACATACTTTTACAGAATCCAATTACTGGCCAGGAAGCCCGGTAGAAGGAGGAGTAAGGAAGCACAGGAAATCAGGAAAAACCACGACAGTGACCTGCTTCAGATTATTACTACGTTTTGAAAAATAAATATGGGGTAGCAGAAAAAATTGCTGCCATTCCCCGAACACATAGTCCATATGGACACTGGGCTCCCTGTGGGGATAATTTTCTGCCAGTGTACACAGTATCATTGCAATGGATCATCTCTCTTTCTTTTTTTACATTTTTTTTTCTATATGTTTGTAATACATAAATTTTCCTGGAAAAAATTTTAACATATCACATAAAAGTGTTTTCCTCTCCTCTTATGTAGAGAGGATGCTCAGTTTTTTAATTTGAGCTATTTATTATAAGAGCATGATTAAAATGAGGTACATTTTAGATATCAGTGTCTCTTCATGTCCAAATTAGAAATTAGAATTACTTAGCATCTACTCTCTGCAAAGTTCTGTGCTAGGCTCTACAAAGATGTGGAAGGCACAATGTTTGTTCAAGAGCCAGCAATAATCTGGGTAACAAGCATAACTTCATAGGAAATGTAAGAACCACAAAGAGATTTCAGAGGAATATGTGATCACTGCCAGTAGAGAGGACCAAAATGCCTTCCTTATGTGTGAGTTTTGAATGAGACTTAGTGAGTCACGCAAGTGTTATTTTAGGTGAGAAAAAAAGAGGTCAAGAGTCAGCAGTTCAACTCTTGTCCCTCTTCCATGTGAAAAAGCTCTATTTCCACTCTTTTTATTCTTTTTTTTTTTTTTTTTGGTACCAGGGATTGAATTCAGGTCCTTCCACTTGTGAGGCAGGTGCCGGAACCACTGAGCTACATCTCCAGCCCCTTTATTCTCTTTTTAAAGTCCTTTTCCCTCCACCCTCCTTCCATCTCTTGTTCCTCTTTCCATTTGAAAAAGATCTCCCTATTTCATATCATCTATCCCTTGATGGGAGGAGATGGGCACAAAAAAGAATTGAGATGTGTTACATACATGTTCCAACTCCACTTGATAAATATAATTATGTACTGCAAACATGTACTAATAACAAAATATTTTAAAAGAGTGATCAAGTCAAACTGAAAGGAGAACACAGTTAAAGACCTCACTGGTGTGGTCTGCCTTTTGCTTCCCCTTCTCCTCCTCATAAGATAGTACTACTCTTTGTAGGAAAATGGATGCACCTTGAGACCATAATGTTAAGCGAAATAAATCAAAGACACAAGATTCAATATCATAAGACTTCTCTTATATGAGAAATCCAAAGTATAAATAATTTAAAAAGCAAAATAAGGCAATAGGAAACAGGGAGCTTGATCTTTGGCAAATGGAAAAGGGATCTAGAGATGGAGGAAGCGGGAAGGTGAGCGACAGGAAATAAAAATGATTATGATGTGTGTCTGATTTATTTTACTTCACATTATGGTTTCAAGTGAGAAACTCAAAGTATAAATAAAGAGGAAAAATAAAAAATAACTGGAAACAATGAGATATATCTTTTGCAAATGGAAGAGATGTGGGGAGGGAGAAAAGAGGAAGAGAAGGGGATATAAAAAGAATTAAGATGTGTTGTGTACATGTAATGACTACCCATAAAGAATGTAATCATTATATATCGCAAACATATACTAAAAAAATAAACAAAACACCAAAGATGTGCTATGTACATGTACCAACTCCCCACGATTAATGTGATCATTATGTAGTGCAAGCATGTACTAAGAAAAAGAAAGGTTCAGTTTTAGATGGAAGTTTATGTTTGGCTTCAGCATTGACCCACATGATTTATAGACTTCACAGAGGGACCCACGCTTTCTTCTGTGCTCTATTAAGGCAAGTAAGAAAGATAATGTATGTTCTTTAGTAGGGGTTTTGGTACACAAAAATGTTCCACATCTAGTAAAAGGTAGCTTTTGTTTTGTTTTGTTTTGTTTGTTTTCCACCTGGGGTTGTGGTACAGGACATCTGGTACACATCTAAGAGACTCACTATGCTAAATTCCCTCTACTAGTGGTTGGCAGGCCCTAGTTCCTATTATGCATCATGATATAAACATGCTTGTGCCTGGGTCTGTGCTTGGATCTTCAATTCTGTTTCAAAGAAAGACTCCCCTTCCCCTTCTTTAGGAATTATCAAGGGATGACCTCAAACATGTATCAGAGGTGCTAGTTCTTGGTAGACCTCCAAATCATGTTGGGGGAAAGGAGAAACATATTTGCATTAGTTATTGTTGCTAAGATATCACTGTAGCTGAGCACTGTAGCTGAGTCCCGAAGTGAGACTGCCTGGGTTCATAGCCTCCCTTTCCCGTCTTCATGTTGGGTGATCTGGGGCAAACTATTTAACCTCTCTGGTCTCTTTTTTTCTTAATTTGTTTAGGGAAAATGATGATACTGCTACATGGGACAGGATGATTGTGTCAATGAAATGAGTTACTCAGAATAAGCACTAAACTAATAGACTTAATATTAATATAATTACTATTTACTGAGAATCTAAGTATTTGACAGGCATTCCATTCAGATATATGACAGGAGTTTTCACTTAATAGTAACTGAGTAAACCCTCAAAATACCCACATTTTACCCCAGGGAATAAAATGGCTAGAGAATGCCCTCAGATTGCATTGTTCTTAACTGGAGAGATGGGATTCAACCCAGATTTTTCAAGCTGCAAATCTTGTGCCCCAACTCCTACATCCTATACAGTGCTTGCCTGGCCTGCACAAGGCTCTGGGTTTGATATCCAGCATTACAAAAATAAAAATTATTCTTTGGCTTTGGAAATCAAACCTAGGCCTTTTATACAGAAGGAAAGGACTTGGTAGCCACTGCCAATCTCAGCTGGATGACTCGTGGCCATGTGGCAGAGGGGAAGGTGGCCTCAGAGAATTTATAAGGGAATCATCTGCTTCCTGCATCTATGACAACTACCTAAGGAATCACCACTAGAAATCCTCTAATTTCCTGTTCTAAAATGAACCATCAGAAATGTCATTTAATTACAGTTGGATCAGTGATAATAGTATTGTTGTATCTCTTCTTTGATACATAAGCGTGGAGAGCAACCTGATGTACTCAAAGCAGCAAAATAATGAAGGTGCTTTGTAACAGTGTAGTGGGCAACCAACTTTCTCTACTCTGTTACAACCTCTTTGAGCTCTTGGACATGTCCAAGCTTCCTTGTGAGCCAGCGAAGTGTAACAGTCAAAGAATGTTGAAGTAAAAATAAAAAATGCTTCCCTGTATTGCTAGGTCTGCCTGCTCTGAATACTTGTAGCCAGCAACTTCTAGGAAGTTCAGTGTCAGTGACATCTGAGGACATGCTGGAAATCACATGAGGACTGGAAGGCCCACACAATACCACTTTGGTCATCCTGAGACACAGCCAGTCCTGTCCCACACCCTGGAAATTGAGGCATTGGTGTTTGCCCTCATGACATCACCCTAAAAGCTGGCAATGTCCTCTGGTGGCTGCCCTGTTTCCTAAGGCAGCCAGGTTGGAGCTATAGATATCACTTCCTCCTCTTTTCTTGTTTGTCTTACCCACTAAAATGGTCAAATATGATAGACTTCAAAATTCTTTTTCCTCGTGTTGCTAATGAAGGTTGCCATTTCCCATGGAGAGATGAGAAAGTTGAAGGCAATCTGAATGAACCAGAGATGGATACTTACAGGGGATTGCTTAGGTATTGGCTGAAGCAAGACAAATCACAAACAACTAAACATTTGGTGACAACTTTCAAAGATGTTTCTAAAGGCCACCCATGAATAATAATGAGTTTCCATGTTATCGCTGCACTGAATCTTGTGGGTAACCAGAAAGCAATTTACCATGCATGAGTCAACTGTCCCAGACTCATAGCCAGCACATATCATCCTGGTGGTGATGGTCTTCATGTCAAAGTAAGACTGGCACTGTTCCAGAGAAATAATGCGGACCTCTCCTTCTTGCAGCTTAAAAGGCACTGAATTTAAAAGAGAAGAAATAAAATTACATAAGATGGTAAAAGATTCAAAAGTCAGGCTACCCAAATGTGAAGTGAACAATATCATAGGAACATGATTATACCAAGAGAGCCATAACCTTCACTTGAAATGTCATGCTAAAGATAAGGTTTGTTTGGAATTGAAATTTCTAATGAAAAATATTCATAGTATTCATCTCATGATGTCTATTTTGTTAATGAGGAAATTGAGGGAGAGACTGGTTAAATAACTTGGCTTATGGTTTTTCCTTCTCATGTGCTATGGCAAAAACAACAGCTACTTTAATGAAAAGAGAAAAACCAAGCCAGGCTCTGCTCCCAACAGGTGGCTGCCAGCTCAGCATGTCAATCCTGCTCCGGAAAAGCAGAGATCTGTTCAGTCTAATGGGGTAGGGCTTGCCCTAAATGTGGTGAAGAGAACTCATCTCACTAAGCATTCCAGTGGCCATTATTTGATGTAAGAAACTTTAATCCTAGAGGATATGACAGAGAGATGTCAAAAAGACAAAGCTAGCCCTTGGTGTTGATAGAATATGTGAACTTCATCTTGCTTGAAAGTTCTTTCAGACAGTGGACTTTGTGAAACAAAACAGAATGAATCTTTTGCTGTGTGACCAATGTTACAAAATTAGACACATAACTCTTTTGAACAGTGATGGGAAGCAATATATATGTACTTTCTTGCCAGAAAAAATCAGTTTTTGAAAAATCAATGAGATGCAGACAGTGAGTGTGTCATGAGTTGCCAAAGAATAATAATAAGAACAATAGCCAATAATCATTGAGTACTAGTGGTAGGCCAGGCACCTATATTCACTATCATCTGGGTCTTATTGTTTTTAATCTTTATAACAATCCCATGAGTTAGATGGTTGCTATTATTTTTTCACTTTGTAGCAAACTAGTAAATAATGATGTTGGGGCCAATCACCTTCCTGAATGAACTAGGACTTTTGCTCTTCGTGCTATGTCCCATCTGTGGTGTGTGCCCTATGTCACAATGTACTGCTCTGACTTTTACGTGGAGATTGTGGGAAGAAAACAAGAAGAGAAAACATAAAGTATATTCTGATCTTATGTTACAGAACTAATCATAGCTTTTAAAAACCCAAGATGTGCAGGGATGGTAGTATCATATGTTTAACATTGCCTTCAAAATTCTCACATGGGACCTTCTGAAAAAGTCATTGACTGTCTATTGACTTCCTTTATATCAATAATTAGTCATATCAAAAAAAGCTTAGCTCAGAACATATCTGATTAAATTTGAAGAAAAAAATATTCCTTCACACTGATAGTCCCTAAGGCCAAGAACAGATGCATTACAATTCTTGCGAGCCATGGCATTATACTTGATCTATATACTTCAGAATAGACAGCACTCCATTAAAAGAAATATCTCCTTGACTCAATTCTCATTGTAAACTTTAAATAAGTCAAAAAGAATAAGAAAGTTTCCTGGGGAGGGAGGGAGGGTAAGCAGTACAAATTCTTAATTTCAGTTTATTTCATATGTTCAAGTCCTCAACAGAGCCCATCAAATTGCTCCTAGAAGCACTTAATGGTTGTGCTGCAGATGTAGGTAGGACAAATCCTAACTCTAGTCAAACTGGAAATGAGACCATGCAACTTGACTGTAGAAGTGGGATTTTCTACCCACTCAATAGAGCCTCCGAGACATTCTCCCTACAGATAACCCCAAACATTGTTAGTCAGTCAAAAGCTTGGAAGCCTGACAGGTCTCATTTTGCCTAGCAGCTTCAAAACATCAGCAGTGGCTCCCTGAACAAGGAGCCTGAAAAAAAAAAAAGTTAAGGTTGCATCTGAGTTTGGTAGATTTGAAAGCCATGATGGATTAGTGATCTCTACATTTGGCTTGAAAGAGAGAGTACGACACATAACACCAAACAATAACTATTTGGGGCTCTATTTTCATAAATGAAAATGGGAAGTTACGGCCAAAAATTTCAGTTACAAGTTGAAGGGCAGCTGCTGAGGATGCTGGCTTACTCTTGTTGCCCATGTGACCCCAGCCCGTGATGTAGCAGTACGTGTCTGGTTCTAGAGACTGCCCTGGGCGAGGTAAGCAGATGGGCTGGACGTAGCTCGTCTCACTGATGTCTTCACTCAGCTCGACTATGCTGATGTCATAGTCCACCACTGCGCGGCTGTAGCGGGGATGCAGGACGATGGTTTTCACAAGGCGCGTCTGCATGTACACAGACGGATGGTCCAGGTTGTTGACGCCAAACACCACTTTCCACACAGCAGCATTCTCTCTCCTGAAAGACATAATTCAGGAGCAAATGGCATCTTCAACTCAATCTTTTAAATTTCATGTTGCTTTTAAAATATTTTATTTGTGTAAACAATTGCTATTTCCATGCCTACTCTGCTGTATGTTCCTATAAGAAGTATTGATGTAACTGCCTGAGTGTTTAACTAAGTATTATTGTTGTGGAAATCAAACCTCACACTTCAGGAATGGGGATTAGACTTGAATATGTAACCTGTTCACATTTAAAGGGAGGCGGAGTAGTTATTTTTGTAACTGAATTTAAAAGATAATAAAAATCCAAGAAAAAAAGAGGAAAAGTGAAAAAGAAGAAGGGAGCCAGGGATTTAGCTCAGTGGTGCTGTGCCTGCCTTGCAAATGCACGGTCCTGAGTTCCACCTCTTATACCAAAAAAAGAAGAAGAAACAGAAGAAGAAGGAGGAGGAGGAGGAGGAGGAGGAGAAAAAAAGCCAAGACCACTAAGAAGTCCCCACAACCTCCAATGGTCAATCTCATGATCTACTGCTCTTGAACTCTTGTCAGCAATATTTTAGTCAATTCTCACCTTAAAATGCTTTCTTTTGGCTTATGGTCTTACCATACTACAGAATTTCTGCCAATTCTCTAGGCACTCCCTTTCTGTCTTCTTTTCTGGGTCCTCCTCCTCAGCACTCAGTGTCAATGTGGAAGTGCCCTGGGATCCCACTCTCAGCCTTCTCTTCTCATTACATAATTCCCTTGATGATCTTACCCATACCCTGGTGACTCCCAGATACACATCAGCAGCTCTGCCCACTTGTCTATTCAAGCCACTCCCTTGGATGTATGATAATAGCCAAGATTTACTGAGGGTTCAGATATTTGGCCAAATCTAAACATTCAGAATTCATTTTACATTCAGAATTCATTTTACAATTACCAATGACCAGTCAAATTTTCTTTTTCTCTTACACCCAATGCTCCATGCATCAGCAAGTCTTTTCCACTACCACTCTCAAAATTATCCTGCATTTTACTGTTTCTACTTCCTCTACCACTGCAATCCTAATCTGAGCTACTTCAATCTATGTGGACCACTGTCATAGCCTCCAATCTAACCCTTGTTAGTCATTTTCCTCACAGTTGTCAGAGTCATCTTTCTAAAATAAGTCCCTCTCCACTCATAATCCCCCAAGAATCTTATATCACATTTGAGATAAACTCTAGACTCCTATCCCTGGCTTCTGAAATGCTAAGTGATGAGTTTTATTTCAGTCACAAGGACTTTCTTTCTATCTTTGGACATGCCAAGGGCATCTCCAACTCAGGGATTTCTCCCTTGCTGTTTCCCTAACCCTCCCACGGTTCCCACCTTTACTCTTTCTCTTCATCCAAGTCTTAAACATCACCTCAGAGTTTAACTTAACTCTTACTCTATCCCATCACTCTCTACTCTTGACCCTACTTCAATTTTATTCTTATAGTATTCTTTGATAAAAATGGCAGTGATGCATCTATTTGTCTGTTTTTGGTCTTGCCCCCTAGAGTGTTCTCTGAAAACAGGGGCACTGTGGGTCTTGTTCACTGCTATATTCACAGAGTCTATTACCAACCCTGCAGTAGGTTCTCAAAAAGGATTTATTTAATGATGGCTCAGTGTAAGTTGTTTTAAAAAAATTTGTTAATGGCAGACTCTAATCATGCAACTGAGAGCTATTTTTCTTCTCTTCCTTTATGCTTTCCTCCTTTCACAGTCCTCCTCTGGAGTGGACTAGGACTAAAGCTGTGGACATTTGTTAGACTTTAGTGTTGGGAAGGGGTAGAGCGTTCATGTGGACATTTCCATATACTATGGGATGCTGAGCCAGGCATGCTACCACTATCTCCACTTGGGAGCTTCTGATTAAATCAACCAAAGCAGATAGATTTGGTTATCTAGAAAGTTATTTTTCAACCCAAGTTGAACATGGAATCATCTGGGGAGTTTTCAAAATACCAGTGCTTTTGAGATTACCCTATATCAATTGAGACAGAAGCTCTAGGGCTGAGGCTTGGGAATCAGTCTTTTTAAAGAGCTCTCTCTCCCTTGGCAAGCCTCTAGTCATTATCATGGCAAATATCTAAAAGGCTGAGATATCAAGAGGATTAGGAAGGACAGCCAACAGTGAGACTCAAACTGATTTTAATATTGTTAAATACTTGACCCATATTCCATCCTTTAAACAGGAATGTATTCTGTGCTTTTTCCATTTTACTCTTTATTTATATACTAGGTTTCTCATGTAAGAGAAATTATGCGCTATTTGATCTTATTCTCTGGTTTATTTCACTTAGCATTATGGTCTCAAGATGCATCAAATTTCCTACTAATGACTCAAATATTTTTTTCTGTTTTAAAGAAACATAATTTCAGAGCTATCAAAAAAACTGATATCATTCATTGAACAGTTATAGGTATATAGTAATTCTTTTAAGCCAAGCATTGTGCTAGAGATTACAGCAGTAAGCAAGAAAGATATGAATCCTACCTACCCAAATTGTAGCACTGAATAAAGATGGATAATTAAAGAAATAATCATAATATACAGCAGGAAGTGCTATCTTATGGGTATTATAAAATAATGTTACAGAATTGGTTTTCATTACATAGCATTGTCAAAGAGCATGCTTTTCTCTTCCTTCTCTTTCTTTTTGTCTTTCTCTTTTCCCCTTTCTTTTCTTTCTTTCTTTCTTTCTTTCTTTCTTTTCTTTCTCTTTTCTTCCTTCCCTTCCTTTCTTCCTTCCTGGCTTCTTTCTTTCCTTTTCCCCTATTTAACTTGTTCTTTTCTGTTGTTAATCTATTATAGTGAGCAGGTGGCCATTCAAGAAATTTCAATATTCACTTGAGGTTCTATTGTTTAAGACATCTGAAATCAAATAATAATTTATTTCAAATTAATTTATTAGATGCTTATTTAATAACTTCTTATCCTTGAACCAGAGCTACTAAGTTTTGGTTGTGACAAAAACTCATCCTTCTGCTTAACTCACAAGCAATATTTCAAACATTGAACATTCTCAATTATTTGTAACAAAATGAAATAACACCAAAATTCTAGACTTAGTTACTTATTGAGGCTAATTTAATTCTAACAGTAAAAACTAAATGTCCATAAAACAGCTAAATGTTATTAACTTGTATCCAAAAGTCTCTTGCTACATAAGCTACCATCCCAATGACATTAATATCCACCAAAAAGAAAGAAAAAAAATATGCATGAAATACATGTGGTTTTTTTTTTTTAAGTAGGAAGATATTTATTGCTAGGAAAGCTCCTGAGGGGCAGCAGGGGTCCTGAGTAAGTAGCCAAGGACCCCTCTTTACAGAGGAATTTTATAGGGTGAAACCCACGTGGGTACAACATGGGCCACAGCCATGAACACCCAATAAAGTTACAAGTATAGTCATGTAGGTAAGGGTGTCCAATTGGGAAGCAAGTCACATAGCAAGCATACAAGGATTTTCAGTAAGGGTGGGGGTTAGGGATATTTCCTGGAGAGGCTGGGTTAAAACCTTGATGCCCCACCCAGGTGATTGATACCTATTTAGAATGTCAATCACTGCTATTTATCCCCAGGAGATGCACAAGGGTGTGTAGTTTCTCTCCTTTTACAATTCTGACCTTTAGTGAATGTGCCTTGTGCCATAATTATCCTCTGTGCAGAAGGCTGTAATATTTATGACTAACTTAGGTGTCCACAATACCAAGAACCCCCAGTAACCTTCCAGCAAATCCCCTTGGCTTAGGTTGGTCTGTCCCTTTCTGTGCATACAGCCAGGAAGCCTAATTGATGTGGTGCTGTTGTTTGTTTCACCTTTGTCCTGGCCTTCTTGAGGACTTTACCCTATCTGACTGAATATAATATTTCTACCTAGCTCATTTATCTATAATATTCCCCCCTCTGAAGAAGTATCCCGAAATGCTGTAAGGGGCCAGGGACAATGACCGCTTGAGCTACTTCAGGCTGAAGGGGGTTGTAGTTTTGGTTGGCAATCAGGGATACCCTTCAGAAGGTCTATCTAAAGGTCCTCAATAGGCATCACACATTTTCATCATGGGTAGGCGTATAGCTTTAAGTCTGGAGGAGACAAGGCCAGAAAGACAGTTAAGTATACATGGGGCAAACAATAAAATCAACAAGAATAGTATGAGTATAGCCAACAAATGTTTCCACCAGGAAGAGCTAGTAATAGCCTTTCACAGGGAGGATAAGAAGTCCCAGGGAATCTCAGAATCTGACATGGCCTTAACCTGTTGTTTAATATCTTGAACAGCCATCTCAGTTACAACCTAAGGGTTGAGTAAAATAGTGAGTTACCTACTCTCCAATGATTTCTTTTACTGATGTATGATGGCTGGAAGGAAGCCCAGGGTTGAAGACAAGAACAGAGAGAGAGAAATGCCATTGTCTAGCAATAGGCTTATTTCTTTTCCCTCTATAGTCATGATTACCCAGGCCTCTTCCATGGAGATGACAGTCTGGCCAGAGAGAGAAGGCAGAGAGTGACCTGGGGCCCTTCAGTCTTGTTGGACCAACTGGAAGGATGGGTTTGAACTCTGGCACCTTTGCCTCAGAAGGCAGGCCAACCTCCAGTGGTCACCTTTACAGTCAGGGCATGGTTCAGGGGGCCTCTTGTTGCAGTCCTTGAGATGGCCTGGTTTTTTGCAGTGGTAGCAGCAGGTTCAGTCATCCAGGTCTTCTTGGGGCCCCAAGAATTGACCTAGAATCTATTTCTCTTAGAGCTGTGGCTAAGGCTGCCGCCTTCTCTCGGTTCCTCTGATTTCTTTCCCTGGTCTCCTCCTACTCTCAATTGTAAAATACAGAAGAAGCAATTTTTAATAAAGTATTAAGTGAGTTGTCTGGAGAAAAAGCCATCTTTTGTCATTTTTTCCTAATATCTGGAGCTGACCGTGTAATAAACTTATCCTTAAAAATAATCTGTCCTTCTGTCAATTCAGGAGCTAAGGATATATGTTTTATCAATGC